AAACCCGCCTGGGCAGGTGAGACCTCATCTCTACAATAAATAAAAAAATCAGCCGGGCGTGGTAGCGCGCCTGTAATTCCGGCTACTCGGAAGGCTGAGGCGGAAGGATCGCCGGAGCCCTGCAGGCGAGGCTGTGGTGGCCAGGAGCGGCCATTGCACTCCAATCTGGGCGACAGAGTGAGACTCCAACTCAAAAAAATAAAATATATATATATAAATATATATGTATGGCTTGTTCACAGAATACTATGGTAGCATTCATTTACTTAAGGATGGGAGTTAGTAAAGTCTTTCCCAGAAGATGAGACTTGAAAGCTAAGACATTTAAATGAAAGAGAATTTCGAAGGTGAAGGAAGAAGTATGGGAAAAGGGGAAAAACATTCTTTTTGAAGAGGACAGATACATAGTGACTGAAGCTGAATGAGTTTGTCATATCTCGAGTTTGAAAGTAGTTCAATATGGCTAGATTGTGATGAGGGGAATGTGGGTGCGATAGGGAGAAGAGCAGAGATGGAAAGAAGCTGATGAATTTAAGAAACAATACTATGTAAAAGTGATAAATTATATGTTACTTTGTTTCTGTTTGTGCATGTGTATGTTTTGATTGTTGTTGTGTATGTAGGGCAAGGACTGAATGAAGAACTTCATGTTTGAACACCTGAGTAGATATTGGTACTGTTTTCTAAGCTAGGAAAATTTGGAATTGAGTAAATTTGGAGAAAAATATTATGAGGCTAATTTTTTTAGTTTGATACCTTCAACCATCCAAGAGAAACATTTGGATATGTGCTCTGAAGTTCACTGAGAGAAATGTGGGACTGAAGATACAGATTTAGGGCAATGGCATATAGCTGCTAATTGAAGCCCTTGGAATAGTGTTAGTGCTGGAGAGAGTAAAAAGGCATAGTATACCTATCCTCACAGAACTTACATTCCAATGGCAACCATGATGCAGGTCTTAAAGGCTTTATTTTTTATTTTGTTTTATTCATATGGTTAATTATATTCAAATTGCTTAGGGAAAATTTTTAGATGAAAAAAGCAGAGTGATGAGGATGGGAACCTAGGGAGCAGTAGCATTTAACAGAAGAGCAGAGGAACAGTTCACACAGAGAGAATGAGGATGTAGGGCCAGACAAGGAGGAAAACTAGAAAGAATGGTATCTTGGAAGCCCAGGGAAAAGACCATGTCAAGAAAGAGACATGTTTCAAGTGCTACAGAAAAATCAGGTGGAAGGCAAAAAAATGCCCACAAGATCTTACCAAAAGGTGGTCTTTTATTGATTTTTCCATTCAATAAATTTGTTGTGTATTTTCTAAATGGCGGGCATAGTGTTAGTGCTGGAGAGAGTAAAAATGGCATAGTACCTATCCTCACAGAACTTACATTCCAATGGCAACTATGGTACAGGTCTTAAAGGCTTTATTTTTTATTTTGTTTTATTCATACAGTTAATTATATTCAGATCTTAAACACTTTAATAGCTTTGCCTTCAGACTGTGACCAGCAGAGTCCCGGGAGTTTGTTGGAGTTTCCTTGGGGACTACTATTATGAGTAGGGGTTCTAGCCATGGAAAGGGCTCAAGAAGAGCCTTTTGTTTATCCTTTCCCCCCCCTATTTTACAACCAAAGAGGATTTCATTTGAACAAAGATATCTGCTGCTGA